AGAGAACACGGCATTGAGTGGGTGTACCATATTCCCTACCATGCACCAGCTGCAGGGAAAGTTGAACGGTGCAATGGCCTGCTTAAAACCACCTTGAAGGCACTGGGTGGAGGAACTTTCAAGAACTGGAAGATTAATCTACCAAAGGCCACATGGTTAGTGAACACCCGAGGTTCCACTAACCGAGCAGGCCCTGCCCAATCGGAGCCCTTGGGAATATCAGATGGAGATAAGGTTCCAGTGGTACACATGAGAGGTATGCTAGGAAAAACTGTTTGGGTGAATCCTGCCTCCAGCAAAGACAATCCCATTCGTGGAGTTGTATTCACTCAGGGACCAGGTTGCACCTGATGGGTGATGCTAAGGATGGAGAGACTCGATGCATACCCCAAGGAGACCGTGTTTTAGGGTGAAATACCTATAGTACTGTGCCTATATCTCTAACTGCATGTATGTATATATAAAATGTAACGGTTTAATTTGATATAGCATATTAGTATGGGAAAAATTCAGAGGTGGATAATGTTGGGGGTTGAATTGTTCCCTTTTCTTTCTGTGGAGTTTTCCCCCTTGTTATGCTAAGTATTTGTGGCTACACTTTAGTAGCAATAGTTTTCTCTCACAGGGGAGTGGGGGATAGGGGGAGACCCGAAAAGGAAAGGTGGAGTGGAAGGAAGACGGCCAGGGCTCCTACCTAGCATCTTCCCTGACATTCCAGCACCAAGAGCCACGTTCCCTGCTGTCAGACATCACAGTGCTGCTTTCCCACTTCATCCTACTACCTCTGGACACTGCCAAGCACCACGACCGACACCGTGAGGAGGGAGTCACTCCTCCATCCCTCTCACCCCTGGGCCGCTGCCACCATCACCCAGCCCTCTTCGACAACGCGGGACCTGCCCTGCCCACAGCACCAGGAACTGAGCGCAGGGAGAGAGGGCTGTGGCCAAAAAGGGACTGGAACTGAGTTATACTGTTCTGTTTTGTTATCAGCTTTTATAGCTTGTTGCTGTTTCTGCTGTTTGCCTTGTTAGATATATCAGTAAAGAGCTGTTATTCCTATCCCCATATCTTCTGCCTGAAAGCCTCTGATTTGAAGCTATAATAATTGGAAGGGAGGGATTTGCACTCTGCATCTCCAGAAAGGGGTTCTCGCCTTTCCTTAGCAAATACCTGTCTTTCAAACCATGACAGGGATGTAGTTGCTTTTGAGCTGTAACTGATTGGGACTGCAACAGTATATAAGGCTGAACTGCGTGAACAATAAATAAATTCAATGACTTCAATACCCTGTTCTTCTATGCTCAGACTTTAACTCTGATTTCAATTCTGACTTCTTTTTACTTGGGTTTTGGCTTCTTGCTTTTTGTACCCCTCTTTTGAAATCCCATCTCTCAGTCGCCTGGTAACATGTGATAAAGTTTATAGTCCTGATGCAGAAGGGGAAACTGTACCCACTGTGAGCATTAATGAGAGTGTCTTGGGGCTTTGCACACTCCCATGCCCTTCTCTTTAAACAACAATACTTGAACTCCTTCCCCTGCACTCTAAGGGGAAAAGTTTTGAAAGACTAAAATATCCTGCTGAAAGACAACAGAATTACACTGAAAAGCAGCTTTTCAGACATTCTCTTCTGAATAATGTTTTTTCATAGTATGCATGAGCACCTGCTATTAGAAGAAATTGTGTAGGCTGCTCCATCCGGAATGGGGCAGGTCAGCTCGTCCAGCATGGTCTGCAGTGCAGATCCCAAGGTGCCAGCACTGAGCAGCCACAGTACTATGGCCAGGTTTCAGTGCTGGCTGATTGCTCTCTTCTAAGAACTTTGTCTGCTGGAAATTTTTGTGAAGCACACCTTGCGTTAAAACCAGAGGCGGTGGTTGAGCCCAAATATCTACAGCTGCTGTAAAAACATGACTCACTATTCACATGCACATCAAGGCCTCTGGGCCATGACCCCCCTTGAAATCATGCTGACAGGGAAAAGCCAGAGCGCCACGGGGCACATCATGCTGCAGGCAGCTGCAGAGAGGGGAAGAAACAATGAGGGGAGGAAACAATGTGGTCTAGGAGTTTGCTTTCAGAAGAAAGTTTGGAGAAGGAACTTCTGACAAGCCTGGTAAAAATTTATTGCCTTGGTTCCTGGCCTTTTATTCTTCTCACTGCTTTATGCTGTCATAGCATGAAAACATCAGCTAAGCACAGCTCTCGAGACTGTTCCTCTTAGAGAATTTTGATCTTCATTACTTATGTTTGGATGGCATTGACATCCTGTGATGGTGAACAGAAATGCTGTTAAAGCTTACCAGGTCTGGGAATTCTGGGGGAGTCTCAGCCTCTTGATTTAATGTTCAACACTTGCAGGGGTTTGAAAGTCGGGTCAGTAATGTCCTCATTACTAGAGTTTTCAACAGATAAAATAAAGTGCATTCAAAATGCAGCAGAAACAGGACTGTAGAAAAGTTGACTTAAAAGAAATATTATGATGGCAAGAACACTTCTGGTCTCACACTTTCTAGAATGAGAATTAAAAATATATATATTATTCCCTTCTTGCTGCATCATTCATTTGCTTGGGGCAGGATCTCTATTGAACAGTAAACATGAAATAGTATATAAATGATCCACAGACACAAACTTGTGCTGAATGGGCTTTCTACTGGAAGGCAGAAGCAGGTTGGGGTCTTTTTCTGCTCTGAGGCTCCTGGCCACTTCTCCAACAGAGAAGTTACAAAAACGGGAACCTCACTTCCACAGGAAGGAGTGATTCAAAGCCAGCCCTTTCTCCTGCCTTTCTTACATAGTGCAATGCTGTTGACTTATCACAATAAACAGCCAGACTGCTTCAGCTCTTGACAACATGGTGATTACTTTGGAGAAATTATTAACTGAAACGATTTGTGGGAATATCTCACTCTCAGCAGCAACAGCTCAGGAGTATCAAGGAGAGGGTACTGTGGTTGACAGTAGAAGAAACAGGATTTCAGGTGGCAGTCACAGAGAAAGGATATTTTTCTTCTGGTTATTGCGTGCTTCTATTGCACCCACCCTATATGTGGGTGATAATAGTTAATCTGCTGTCATTAACTAATATTTATCCACAGCTAGGTTAAGCTTCTCTGAAGACATCAATAATAGAAAACACCAGAGGGGAAAAATACTATTGTCTAGCTCACATGAAGACAAAGTTCGTAAATTTAAGCTACATGCGTTCAGAACCATATAGATTATGTGTAGTTTTCATAGTTCAAAACACAAGATCAAAATGCATTCCATAGACTTTAAAAATACACAAAATAAGTAATAAAAAAACACTTCCTTAATTTGTGACTAAGCTAGATTTTACTATACACCTTAACTTTTCAGCAGTAGAAATTTGAATATGTCTGTATCCTCCAGCCACAGTTCCTGACCTGTTTTACATTGCTGCATGCTGAAGCACTTTGATCTATTCCACAGCATGATATAGGATCCAAGTGCCAACATAGCAAGAGATATATTAAGAAACAGCTAATTCTGTCTCAGGTTTAGCACTTCACAATTTTGTGTCCTACCTTGCATGATAAGTCATAAGTGATGGACCTGGGAAATAACAATGAGAACGTTCCCCCTGTGACGTTAATGGTAAACAGGGATTTAAATTCCACATCGTATCCACAGCCCTCGTTTTTCTTTATCACATCACTTCCCCCTAAGATGTTTACAAACAACTTAGTTTCACTGTCTGGAGACAAGACTTTTTTGCAGCATACAATTTTCACAATTATTTGTATTTTAAAAATTTGTTACTTTGACTTTGCAAGAGCAAATAAAAGCTCTATTCCTAGCAGGACAGGTCAGTGCTCTGCTTATTTAATTGCTAGAAATGGAATTGAGACATACTGGAGTCAAAGATGAGTTATGTGAGGCATACAGCATCAAAAGAGGCCTATCAAATAACCCTGAATAACTATTAGATAGATACAGTAAAAGAGAGCCAGAAAATCAATTTACTTTACACTAAATAATTATTTTTAGTGTTATGTAATAAAAGCACCATTCTGCAGTTCTCCACCAGGTAGAGAGGACAGACTTGAAAAACTATAGACGGAAAAAAGCTTTTCAGTGTGAAAAAATTTGAAGTTTCTCAGACACTTATCCACCACCTCCAGGCTGAATAAAACTTTCCCAGTTATTTCCTCAGGTTTTCTGCTTGGTAAATCTTTCAAACGGAGAACTGCAAAACAGCTTCGAAGTTATAAGTCATAAAATGGAATTATCTTTTAATAAACACACAAATTGTAAGAAGCATAAAGGTATTTGAACAGATTTATAAACATTGTTATCTTGGTTTTCCTCATTAGAGATGATGAGCTGCAGGCACTCTGCACATGAGTCAGTGAGCTGCTTTCAGCATAAGCATTCAGAACATGATGTGTTCTTGGGCGTTTATTATTAAGAAAACACTTAGCTGATGTATCAGAGCATTTGGAAGGACAAAGATAGATCCAAAACTTCACAACTTGGGAAAAATTTTAATCAGCATTTGAATCTTTTTTTACTGTGCCTGCTCTCTGAAATGAAAAATTAAGAAGAAAAGCAAGAGCAAAAGCAGAAATACAGCACTTTCCCTACCTCCAGAGAGAGTGGTGGGAGCATGGCAGAAGGCAGTGGTTCCTTTGATTCAGAAAGCTCAGATCCAAGCAGCCACCAAAGCAATGTGCATTGCTGTCAGTCTTGACCTTGGCAAAATCTCTAAGGCTTTGATTTTCACTTTAGACTGGACATGTAGAATGTATCTGAAAAGATTCTCAACCCTTGGCCGATCTTCCAAGGGAAACTGATACTAAAGGAACTGATTTGTGATTGCACTTTAAAACTGCCATGTACTTGCATTTTATTTCTTTGGTTTTGACATGGAAGCAGGTGAAGGTAGTTTTACCACCTTTGTGGTTTTACCTGGATTTTATTCAGGGGTTCTGTGGGTTTTGAACCTGAAAGAAATGCAGATCAGCAGTTGTGTAAGTTTCCTGAGAAGATTTAATCCACTGGAAATATGATGCAACACAACTGTTACGTAACATGTTCTATCATGTGGAGTTTTCTGGTACT